GCTGAATATTATGGTGACCATTTTCATTATTTGAACAGATGTAAAAATATAGTCTTTCTGAAATTTATAAGTTGTCCATAAATATTTCCTAACAGTATTGGTTCAGCACCTGATAGATGAACTTTGGGCGTGTTTCTGAAGGAATGGCTTCACGTTGATGCTTGAATACAGAGCAGCTGCAGGGAAGAGAGGTTTTGTTCGATAATTTTTCCACAATTGAGGTGAGCTGACTTAGGGCAGTTTGGCCATCAGAGATGGATGAGGACTGTAGGGCTCCTCTGTGCAACATCCCTACCAAGACTGATTGTACCATGAATCCACCTCTCAGATGGAGTTCTGCCTCACGCTCACATGTATATTAGCGACCAGGCTCAGTTATGTAGCTTGTTCTTGTAGGTTGATGAAGTCCTTGCTCTCTTTGCTTTTAGGACTGCTCTGGTGGCAGGACTCAGCTAACCTTCTAATCAGGCTTTGATGTTCTCCTGCAATTAGCAGAAGAACTAGAAAAACTCTACTGCAAAGTTCAATAGCTGCTGGACTGAATATAATCTTTTGCCCTGGAAATGGAAGAGCTGAAAGCACCTGTGCATAATTTCTTGCCAATCCACTTTAAGCACTATTTCCATTTTATCAGTGAAAAATGCTTTTAATACCCCTTAGGATAAGTAGTACCCCCTGATAAATAGCGATCAGAGAGAGGGATAATTGAACCCTCTCAAAAGGTGGACACTCCATTACAGAATCTGAAATGCTAAGTAAGTAAAGACCCTGGAGAGTATATACCTGAATAGGGCACTTCAAATGTTAACCAGCCACCCTCAGGGCATAAAATACAGCTAACTCACATAGATGTCACATGGTATGTGCTGAAATATTTTAGCACTGGGAACAGTATCACAACCATTGAGGGTGAAGCAGATACAACAAAGTGTTTATAATGCTTTTTATTCACCCATGAATGTTTATCATAACCAGGTTTATTCTCATGTTCCTGCTTATAGAGAAGTGAAATAGTTTGGAACTTTTTAATAATCCAGATTAATAAGGATTTTCAAATTATCTTACAAAGAAATTAAGATATCAGACAGTGCCTATGACCAGCTGTTGATGAACAAAAAATGGGAATATAAGTGATGTCCAATATGGACCCATTCTCCTTATGGTTGTGCCCCTAGGACCCAGGCGGGGATAGGGCAAATTAGGACAGAGAACTCTAGGCCATGGCCGTCAAGCAATGTCCTAGACCATGGGTTAGCAAACATTTTCTATAAAGGGCCAGCTAATAAATATTTTAGGCTTTGCAATTTTGTGGGCCATATGGTCTCTGTTGCAGCTATTCAACTCCGCTGGTGTACTAGAGAAGCCATAGACAGTACATAAACAAATGAGCATGTCTGTGTTCCAATAAAATTTTATTTACCAAAACAGAGGGAAGGCAAATTTAGCCAGCAGGCTGTAGTTTGGCAGCCCCTCTCCTAGGCCAGTCCTGACTCAAGGTTTTCATAAAGATTTTATAAGTTTCCATGTGATGATAGCTTTTCAAGTACCCTCCCTCAATCTCATCCCCCTCTCATGAACCACAGTAACTACTCCTTTTCTGTACAGTGGCCTTTTTCACTCTTTACTATTTCATCTAGGCATTGACCATACTCATTGACAGACCATATCCAACCTTGAATATCTGAAATTTAATATCCCACCTAAAAGGAAATATGCATTATTTGCCTTTCCCATCTTAGACTTGTTTACAGGTGTGTTGTCAGAGAATTCAAGTATTTTTGTTTAAAAAGAGACATTCTAACTCAGTTATCTGGGAGGTGAAGGAACAAAGGAAAGACAATATGGGTCATTTGGAACCACTTGCTGTAAGATAACTCCTGAGTAGTGAATGGGGTAAAGACATTTTCTGCTTGCTTTCATTCCAAATTACACTTTAATTTTAAATCTCCACAAAAATATTAATATAACTCAACACACATATTTGTTGAGCTTCCCACTATGTTCAAGAAACCATGTTAAGTGCTATATAAAATATGAAGACAAAACAAAATCCTTGTCTTCATAGAATTTACAGTATAGTAGGAAAACACTCAACTCTGATCAAAGACGATTGTAACCCTCCAAAGTGAGACAGATGCAAAGCACTCTGGGAAGTTCAGAGGAAGAAAAATTATATCCAGTTGGGAAGAACAAAAATAGAGGAGGCGGTTATTTTAAATGGGCCTTAAATATGTTAAAACAACACACTGAACCAACAGCCACCTGAGGTTCTTTTGTGAATGTCAGGCATTTTTCACATACTTACGTTGCCTCACTTAAGGATTTGGAAGGGCATCGTGGGAGGTAAAACTAGTGGGATCAGAGCACAGAGGTCCTTGGATGGCAGCTGAAGGATGTCGCTTCATCTCAATAGGAAGTGGGAAGCCCCTGAGGATGTCTGAGCAGGAGGTGATGTAATTAAAGTAGTGAGGTAAAGGGTGGGGAAGGATGGGGAAGTGAAAGGGAGAACAGTGGAGAGGAGACCCCAATATTGAAATCATCAGCATGAATCAAATTGAGGACCTGATTGAAGGTGATGGCAGGGAAAATAGAAGTAAAGGAAAGGATATGGATTCTGAATAAAGAGCCTCTAGGATTTGAGCACTGGTTGAATGTAAGAGAAGAGGCAAGTGGCATTACAGATAGGGCTCCGACGTGGCTCAATCTCACAGTCAGACGTGGGTTCAGATCTCAAATCTGCCGCTGTTCCTTAAAGTGTGACCTCTGAGCATCAGTTGCCTCATCTGTAAAATGAAGCTCGTCGTAACTAACTCACAGGAGATAGCACATTTAAAGAGCTTGGATTTAATAGGCACTCAGTAAATGATAGCTATTGATATTATATATTCTTGAGAGAGTGAAGGTTTGGTCAATGACCGCTCTGAGATTTTACGCCTGGGTTATTGGAGAAATCTAGGTGCCATTAAAAGAAACACAAAGGTCAAAGTGAAGATCTAGAATTAATGGCAAGACAACAGGTTTCCTTTGAGACAGAAAGAGATGTTCAGCTGATGATTAGAACTGCTTATCCAATGGTAGAATTTTTTCTATGGCAGTGTATTGAGATATAATTCATACATAACAAAGTTCACATACTAAAAATTCACTCTTTTAAAATGTGCAGTTCAGTGGTTTTTAACATGTTCACAGAATTGTACAGCCATTACCACTATCTAGCTTTAGGACATTATCATCACCCACAAAAGAAATCTATACCCATTAGCAGCCATTACTCATTTCCCCTCCCTTCAGCCCCTAGAAGCCACTAACTTACTTTCTGTCTCTATAGAATGGAGGTAGATATTTGAGAGTCACAACATAGAAGTGTGTAAAACTGTGAAAAAGGAATGTGATTCACCAAGTAGAGAATGTAGCAAGAGAAAAGAAAAAGAGGGTTGGCATGAGCATGTGAGTTCTAAGTCTGTGCCATCATGTGGCCAATATGTTAAATGGCTTCCCATATACTGTGGTTTTAACAGTGACCAGAGATTTGACCAACTGGTAAACACTGAGGTCAACAAGAATACCCACTGATTTTCCTGAGACTTGGCTGCCTGTGTAGTGAGAACACTGTGTCTTTATTTTAGACTAAGAAAATTATCATCTTGAATAAGCCTTCTAGATATGTGTTATCCAGTAAGATAGCCACTAGCCACACATACCTGTGTAAATTTAAGTTTACATTATTTAAAATTAATTTTTTTTTTGGCTGCACCACATAGCTTGTGGGATCTTAGTTCCCCAACCAGGGATCAAACCCAGGCCCACAGCCCTGAAAGCACCAAGTCCTAACCACTGGACCGCCAGGGAATTCCCTAAAACTAAAATTAAAAATTAGTTCCTCAGTTGCACTAGCCACATTTTAAGTGCTCAATAGCCACAGGTGACTGTTAGCTACCATATTGGCCAGTGCAGATGCAGAACACTTTCATCATCACTGAAAGTTCTATTGAACTGCATTGTTCGATATGATAGCAATAATTTGCAAGCTTCATAAAGAGTTCTCTGCTTTGTAGGTTATTTTGTAATGGCTACATTCCTTATTTGGCTTAATATTGGCTTCTTTTTTTTCTGTTTTATCCTTGTGTTTTTCCGTCTAAACTATTGTCCAAATATAGCCCAGGCCTTCACGGGCTGGTACCCAACAAGGCACACTTATGCGTATGTATGTCTCTCTCAATTTGAATTTCAGACCACATTGCAAAGCCAAATGTCAAAAGATTTTTATAAGCTCTCAGGTATTTTCCATGCTTATTCTCATTATGGCTAAAAATATAATTAATAAAGTCATATTAAATAAGTACTTTCACAGATACAGATAATACTCTTAGTTCCCATATGCATATTTATTTCTTCATGCCAAGTAAGAGATCCACGAAAGTTTAAAGAGAGCACGGTTGGCTTGTATTAGTTTTTTATTGCTGTTGTAACAAAGTACAGCCAACATAGTGGTTTATAATAATACACATGTATTCTCTTATAGTTCTGGAGTCTCTGAGGGGAGAATGGTTTCCTTGACTTCTTCAGCTTCTAGTGGCCACCAGTGTACCTTGGCTTGTGGCCCCTTCCTTCATCTTCAGAATGCATCACTCCAATCTCTGCTTCTATCATCACATCACCTTTTCCTCTTTGTAGTCAAATCTCCCTCTGCCTCTCTCTGATAAGGACACTTGTGATTTCATTTAGGGCTCACCCAGATAATCCAAGCTTCTTCATTTAATCATATCTTCAAAGTCCTTTTGGCCATATAAGGTAACATTCACAGCTTCCAAGGATTATGACATGGATATTTTGGGGGGCCATTATTCAGCCTACCCCAAGGTTACATAAACTTTCTTCTTGGTAGAAGAAAGTTTACCCCCACCAGATTTAACTTAATTATTCAGGGCTTTGAATTAACGTTTAACAATTCGTATTAAAGCATAAGGTGTTTGTTTGTAATCATGTTGACAGATATTAAAATGTCTGATGATGGCGACGATACCTTAGCCACTGGAGACAAAGCAGAAATCACCAACATGCCCAGTAGTGATACCTTACCCAAAGATGCAGAAGTGCACTGTGATTCAGCTACGATTTCAAATGAGCTAAGGCCAGCTGACCCCAGAGGAGATGTACGTGAAAATGCGGCTGTTCAGGGTGCAGAGACTGCTGACACTGGACTCACTGAGCAGCCCAAAGACCCCGGTCCCGTGGAGCACCCCCCCAATGGAGAAGTGACTGAGGATGCCCTTGCTGAATGCATTGACTCCGTCAGCCTCGAGGCAGAACCTGGATCCGAAATACCCCTGAAAGAGCAGAGTAATCCGGTAGGAGTGGTTCACTTGACTCAGTTCAACCTAAGTTCTTACTGATACTACCATGGCCATAGATTTGTACCAGGCTCTGTGGGTAGGGATTAGGAGTTCAGTATATACTGTGACATTACCTCTGTCGTCAAAGGTGTGTTGTGTGGTGAGAAAAGGCATATATGAGAGTAATTGGTCATTATAATATTTGCGTTTTGATAATTGTTTTATTATTAATAATAACAATCACCAATTATTGGGCACATCCTGTGTGCCAGGCACTCTGCTAGCTACTCTATATGTTATGTAATTCACTCTATACAACAGTTCTTTGAGGTTCTAAGCTGGATATTATTGACCTCAAGTTATAGACGAGGCAACCAGGTTCAGAGATATTAAGCAACCCAGTAAGATTAAGCTACTCAGTAGTAAATGGAAGATATTGTAATATTGAATGCAATGAGTCCAAATTATTAATGAACCTGATTCCACCCTAAACAAGTCAATGTTTCTTTAACATCATTCAAATTTTAATACATATTTACAAATCTACTGTGAAGATCTTAAACATTCAGATCACTCATTTATTATCACATACCGCCGTCCAGGGGACCAGAGGCAGAACACGTCCATGCTTCCCCTCAGTGCCTGCACCTGTCTCTCTGGGAGATAAGACAGGCCAGTGTCTCCCAGGTAGTGCCTGGTTCCACATCAATATGACCATCAAGCTGGGTTTTCCTGACACCTTCCCCTCCATCCATGTGGGGACTGGAAAGGGTGGGGAGGCACTGTCCTCCAATCCTGCCTTCTAGAAGGATGCTATGGTATAGGGGAAATGAGAGTCTTCCCTCTGCCAGGCCCAGCCCTTCTCTCCTGGAGTGTACCACACAGATCACCGCCTTGAGGTGACTCTGCTGCAAGCAGTGAGGTACGGGAACGAAGCAGGGGGTCGGGGGGCCTGGGTTTTCATCCTCCATCTATCGTTAACTTTGTTAGTTTGAGCAAGCCACCTAATTTCTCTGTGCTTCAGTTTTTCCTCTGTAAAATGAGGACTTTGCACATGAAGACCACGAGGTATCCTTCCAACTAATGTTTTGTGATTCTTTTATTCAGAATCAACCTTCTTAGCCACAGTTTCCTCAAAGCGACTCTTAGAATTGTTCTAAGATGAGATGAGCTTCCTCAGGGAAGAGACGGGGTTCCCATCACTGGAGATGTTTAAACAAAAGCAAACAATCATTCTGCAGGAACGTCATGGAAGGCATTTGAGGACCAGATGGGAGTTTGGATCAGATATGTAAACATACATGTAAAATTTTGTTTACAAGTTCTATGATATCACAGACCCTTTAAAGCCATCCATGGACCCCCCTGAGGGAATTCCTAGACCAGAGGGTCTCGACCCTAGCTGAACATTTCAACCACTGAGAGAGCTTTAAGAAATAATGATGCCAGGATGTATATTAGCCTGAATTCTCCATAGAAACAGAACCAATAGGATATACCCTATTCTTGTATTTACCTATATGCCTGACTCTGGAACCTGGCTTCCCTCCATGCTGTCTTTCTATTGGGGGGCCACTGGTTCCCAATTGTTATTGTAAGTGCTACTATTGATACATATTAAGAAACTATGTCTTAGCCACACCATTCTGACCGAAGACGACTTAAAGAAACTACAAAAGCTCCACTGATTCAAAATACGTGAGCTCATGAAGGCTAGATTATACATTCCAATTTCAGACTTCTAAAAGTTATAACAAGATTGCCAATAAAGATAGCACAAAAAAAATTCAGTATGCTCCTACACATCCATCTTCCTAAATTTTGAGCCAATCGAATGAATCCTGCTCTTGCAAGCACTTTATAAACCTCCTTAGTGCTACAGGGAGAGAGCCAACTGGCAGACAGATACTCCCCTCCTCTCCCAGCACCACTGATAGCTTTCAGGGACTTTGAAAAGGTGAGCATTTCCTCGTAATGAAGCATCACAAAAGTATCTGGATGGAAATACAAATATTGGCCACAGAGTTGGGGCCATGGCCCTGCATGTATGTGTGTGGCATTGCATCAGGAGCTCAGATAGAAATGGGGTATAGGAGGAATTCTTGTGAGTACATTGGTTCTAAGAAGGCAGAAAGCTGATATGGGTGGCTGGAAGGGCCTTGAAGGGAAGGGATATATCTCTTTCACCCAGGTTCCATTTAAACCCTTCTAAATAGGTACAAATATAGTCTCTTTTAAATAATTACCAGAAAAGGGGGTTCTGCTATCTCTCGTGGCAGCCTATCCTTGTATCTTAGGTTAATATAGAAGAATTCAGTTTTGTGCTTCGTCTTCAAGCATTGTTCGTTTGCTGTTTTATTTGCTGTTTGTTGGACACTTATAAGAAGTCCTTTTGCAGTGATGAAAACAACCATTTTTCTGTTGATCCAGCAGATAATGAATTCTACAAAAAATCTTCAATGAAAAGTTCATTTACAACTTGGCTGTTTGGATCTTGAACACAGATCCCCTGAGGGATGTCAAGTCCTGTAGGAGTAGTCAAGCTCCAAAACCTATCTGATTTCAGGTGTATCTGAGCCTAAAAGAATCTCATCACCTTTAAAAAAAGTTTCTAAGGGAAAATGCCTGCTTAAAAAAAAACCTGGCAGAATAGTCTTTGAAGAAGTAAACTTATATAATCTAGGACACACTAGATTTTTTGATAATGGGTTTAAATGTATATATTTTTCTATAAGTGGTCTGAGTTCCCTTAAAATCCACATTATTAGCTTCCCCTTTGCCTGAGCCAGCATGGGGGCCATAACTTGGCAGGTAGGGCGGTGTGACAAGGAGGGGGCCTGGGGCCAGTGGTTCTGCCAGCTGCTCAGCTGGCACCTCTACCTTGAAGGATCACACCGTTCACAGTTGATGCACTCAGAGAAGCTATTTCTGTCTTTAGGGCCCCTTTCTCATCCATTCTGATGTACAGACTCAGAAGCCATTGAGTTAAGGCTTCCTTCAGGACTCCACTCTACAACATCCATAAGAGATGGTCCCCAGCCTCACTTGAACTTTGGAGGTTGTACTAGATCCTCTAAGCCTCAGCCAGCCTCAGGATCCATGAGTTATGCCCCAGAATCTGAGTAGTACAACTATCTTCAGGATGCCTACCATCTAGATGGGTAAGGCAGTGTTGCATAAAAGCAACTGTAGCATGTCTCATAGTACTAGACAGGACAGGCACAAGGTAGCCTTAGATAGAGCACTCAAATCAACCTTAAGGAGTCAGTGAAGTCCTCAGCCTCCATTCAGAGATGTTTGTCTTGAGTGCTAGCCTGGAGCGACATTTATTCCCAGAGATCTTGTGGGACCTTATTATATACTAGTCTATCAGCCCCTAAAAGATCTAATCTACATAAAATTTCTCTAAATTCTTAGCACCAAGAAATATTTCCCAGAGTAAAAAAATTTCATCCCTACTGTCCTACACCAGTGCATAAGGCCAATTATGAAGAAGGTAAAGAACGCAATGTTACAACTAAAAGTACTCTCAAAGGAAAACATAGACTACCACTCAATAGTTCTGTCCCTGGAAAAGGAAAAGCAGGGTGTTTAAGAGCAATAAAATTGCTATCAACAGAGACAAAGATGAGAGAACATAGGCCAAGACATGCTGATGATAGATTTTTGCCTCTTAAATGAGTGAGTAGAGTTTGCTCCAATTCTGTTGGAGTATTTCTCCTTTTAAGCCTCTCTCCATCATGGCACCTGATTTTTGACTTGGGCAACCAGGTGGATGCTGTTGCCTTATGGCTGTATTGGGCAGTGCGTCCTAAATCTGGTGGTATATTAGAATTACCTGGGAAGCTTGTTAGAAATTCAGATTCGCAGGGTAGAAACCCTGAGAGATTCTTTTTAAAAAATCTATTTACTTTATTTATTTATTTTTGGCAGCATTGTGTCTTCGTTGCTACTCACGGGCTTTCTCTAGTTGCGGTGATCGGGGGCTACTCTTCATTGCGGTGTGTGGGCTTCTCATTGCGGTGGCTTCTCTTGTTGCAGAGCACGGGCTCTAGAGTGCAGGCTTAGTAGCTGTGGTGCACGGGCTTAGTTGCTCCACGGCATGTTGGATCTTCCCGGACCAGGGCAGGAACCTGTGTCCCCTGCATTGGCAGGCGGATTCTTAACCACTGTGCCACCAGGGAAGCCTGCTGAGAGATTCTTATTCAAAAGATCACAGTAGAAGCCAAGACTCTGTATTTTTAATAAGTTCCCCCAGATAATACTCTTGCAGTCAGTCTGTGGACCCGTGTTTGGGAACCACTAATATGGGAATTGTGTAAAATTGAGAAGATGGTGAGTTCCATATTGAACATGAGATGAGACATCCAAGTGAAGATATTTTGTGGGCAGTTGGTTATAGTGGTCTGGAGCCCAGGGGATAGAGAGAGATTTGGAGGCAACTGGATGTTATTTAAGTAATGGGAGTGGGTAAGATTGCCCAGGTGTTATATATAAATAAAGAACAGAGGCCAAGGACCTGGCCCTGAAGTCTCCTGTCTCTAAGCCACTTTGGTCATGGCCTGCTCTTTGATAAGTTGTGATTGCCAGCAAAGGTCATTCCATAAATAAAATCAAATCTCAAATCACATTATACTACACTGACATTTTAAAATTAAACATTAATTAACAAGAAAGTTAAAATAGCTTGTGAGAACTCATGTAGGCTTGAGAATGTGCCATTGTTTTGGACTTTTAGGTGCTTTGACCACTACCCTGCATGAAAGGTGCATTCAACGCAAATGTCTAGAATTCTAGGGGAAGGGTTTCTCCCCTTATACCTGGCATCAAGAAACCAGAATTCTCCAGAGTTCAGAGATGGATAGAAGATCATTAAGTACAGGGAAAAACCCTTTCTTATACCCTATTCATGTAAAGGTAGGAAGAGGCTCTAAAATATATTTAACCATCTACAGGTGTTTAATACCTTTAATTTCACCATCTAGAACCCTTTTCAGATATTTAAAATGCTAGTCAACAGTCCACCACGTTTACCAGTTAAAGCCCATTTCTGTAATTCAGTATGCTAATTAGCAAAGCATCATACGTTAATACCGATGCAAATAATAGAAGTGTTCATTATAGCTGCCTTTGGGGTATGGCTTTCCTGATTAGGATGCCAGCTGACCACCTGGACTGTGCGTATTTTATTGGAATGCTGGAAGCAGTTGTGTTGTAACTTAATCTAAGGAGCTTCTATAATATCACAATATGCATGTGGAAACTTTCTAAAGTAAACTGAAATCATCATAATAAGGGATGGACAAAAAAAGCAAGAGTCAAAAGATAGGTCATGAAAGCCATGAGAATAGAGTCTTTTAAGAATGGAAAAGTGCTTAAACTTCTGATGCTACTGAGAGGTCAAGAAATAAAATGACTAAAATGAGTCCATGGCTTTGACAATGAGGAAGCCATTGTGATCTTGGTGAGAATGGTTTCATGAAATAGTGACCATGGGAGAGTCACCATGGTGGGTAGAGGAGTGGAGGGGGTGGATACAGAAGGCAGGCACCTTGAAGAAGAAAGAAGGACATGGAGCAGAAGCCAGAGAAGTTCGAAAGAAACATTTTGTCATCGTGATTTTCATTTGCTGGTTTTAAGATGGAGGAATCGTGCACATCATTAAATGTGGGAAGCAGCCAGAGAGAAAGGTTTAAAAACCAGGAAAAAAGGGAGAACCAACCTTCCCAGGCCCAGAGGAGATCAGATGGAGGTGATAATTATAACTAAGAGGAAGATATCATTTCCGTTATGACAGAAGGGGAGGAAGTAATTGTGACTGGGGGTGCAGTAAAGTTAGATTTGTATTGAGATAGATTTTTGGTGTAGGCCAGTGTGTGTTTTGTCCATAAGAAAAAGCTACTCAGACTTTTAATTTGGTTTAAACAATTAGTGTTCAATATATTAAGGTTACAGATTCACAATGTCAATTCTCCCTAGTATTTACACTCATCTCACAAATCTTACTCTATTTAGAAGCCTAACATAATTGAACAGTCACTTTCAAGGGGCTTTTGATTAATGCTTCATCCTTTTTGTGAACTTAAACACTGTCAAATATTTTTAAACTACATCTATAAACTTAATATACTTTTTAAGTACCTCATTTATCTACTTAAACAAAATCTTGCTGAGTACTTAAAAATTGTTGTAAATCTTAAATTTATAGAGTAGACTAAACAACCCCTTAGGTGGCATAACATTATGCATAAACTTAGGAAGATTTCAACTTAAAATTCAGAAGTCTAATAATTCAATTATTCATTTTAAATTGATTTTCAAAAAATTGTCACTCTAATCAGTCAAATTCCTTAAACATCAGTAGTATAGAAAAGACCAAATATGCACAAAATGATTAATAGCATATTTCATGCTTTAAACCTTTCCATATTTGATGTTAAATCTTCCTACAGTTGAGTGATACATACTCACCAAGGAACAAGATTACCTGGGAATAACTGAGGCCATTTTCAAGCAAATATTTTGACAGAGCTGCAGGCATCCAGAGTAATTTACATCCTCCCAAATGTCACACTGAGCCCTTTTTAGAACAGCTGTGTCACAAATTACAAAACTTAAAAAGGCTTTGGTCTCATAACTCCTACTGTCCACATCCCAAGACCAAAGTTATACACAGTATCTGATTTTTGATCTACCCAAGGAAATAGGACAACCAGGTTGGTCTTTATCCTTTAAGAGAGGTACATATATCTTCTATCTAAATGCTAAAGGCCTTTGAATTTGATGGAATTCTAAGATTTGTACATATTTTTCTATCTAATGATACCTTTGAACATGATAGCCTAAAAATAAATAAATGTCTTTTATATTTAAAGAACTTCGAACTTGATAGAATCTTGCACTCTTTCATGTTCTTAGGACCACACAACAGTTATAGATGTTTAAATGATCTCCAGTTGAGTTTTGGAGATCCCTCTTGATCAAACCAAGTCTGATTTGCTGTTACAATATGCGATCACTCTTCTGTGAGTTTATGAGGAAGGAACGGGAAGTTGAGAGAGTTCTCATCTGATGGCTTCTGTTTTCTCTGTAAATTAGGATGTGAAGTTCTCCGGTAAAGGAGGTGGGGGTTACATGGGTGAGGGTGAGAAAAAAGCTTTAAAATATCCATATATGAAAATGGGAGATCTGAGTAGATCCATGCTGCCTAATTTATAGTCTCATAAGCATGTGACATTAAAGCTATTTAAAGTGGAGACAATACTCAAGATGAGATATATTTATAGTTCATGTCAAACATTTAGTTTTTTTGGTTTTATATTAAATGTGCACATTTAGTTATTTGAGTATTTGCCATTGATAACAAATATTCTTTTTAGCTGATCAGTAAGTCACAGCTCAATGTCAAAGGAGCTTTATTAATAAAGCAATTGAAATAGCCACACTGCGAAAAGTTCTAGACTCATTTAACATTAATTTCCATTTGCTAGTCAATTACCGGCTGTCACGGCATATTACGTATTGTAAATTTGAGTCAGAAGCTGTCACCTCTAAGTGTATTAACTCTCCCTAATCACATAGGTAGAGATTGGTCCCATGAAAGAACTATATTTATCACCAACTTACATATGTCTTCATGATGGTATAAAATTGCCACTGGCTTCATTACTGAAGTGAAGTAAATCAATGTAGACACCAGAAGTGAAAGCAGACTGTCATGAATCTTGAGTATTTCCATTCACGTTAACAAGCTTCTCATTGTTTCCAAACAGAAAAATAATGTCAGCCAACTTTCAAAACGTTTTGCTTCTTAGTGTTAAAAATGTAGTTACTTATTATTATTACTAGTTGACATTTCTGGAGTATTTATTATGTGCTAGGCACTATGCTTACAGCTTTATGTGAATTCTTTCTTTTAACTTTCACAATAACCCTGTGAGGTTATTGGTTCTTATACTTATGGTTGCATTTTCGTAATGAGTCAGTGATAGCTAAAAGACTTGAGTAACTAACATGTCCAAGTGGCAGAGCCTGGAGTCAAACCCAAGCAATTTAATTCCATAACCTTTGCTCTTGACCAGTAGTCTATGCTGATGGATGATGTTTGATATTTATGAGGTGAATCACTTAGGAATGCATTTGGGTGCAAGTAACTAAAACCCAACATATATTAGCTTACAAAATAGCAATTAATTTTTTCTCACTTAACAGAAAGAATGGAGATATGCAACAGCTCACATTTGTTTAGTAGCTTAGCAGTACCAGGACCAGTGACTCTGTGATTCCCTGGCCTTTCCCTCATGGCAGCAAAAATGGCTGCTTCAGTTTCAAGCATCAGGTCCACATTCAGGGCAGGAAAAAAGGAGAGGGGAGAGTCGGCACCAGACAAAACTGTGTATTTTATCATGAAAGCAAAACATGTCCCATTTATATCTCATTTGTCAAAACTGTTTCACATGGCCACCCTTGTCTGCAAGAGTGGAAGATAAGAGTGGAAGACTGCATGCAGAAGGAAGTTGGGGATGATGATGGACCAGCCTTGAGTCAAAAGTTATAGAATCTACAAACTCTGTAGGAATTTTTCATTTCCTTCTTAAGTTCTTCCTTTCTTTACTTGGAGTGAAAGAGCTGTTATTCTCCATCTCCTAATGTGTTCTTGCCTCATTTTCTATAATGCATTCCTGGATATTAAGGGAAAGCTGTGGTTACACCGAGTCAGGATGCATTGGTTGCAAGTAACAGAAACTAAGCACACCTAAGAAAATGGATGCATTTCAGTCATTTATTTAACAACTAAATTTATTAAGCACTCATTATACACCATGAATTCTCTGCTCTGTGGACATAACAGTGAACAAAACATTAAAAGAGAGAGAAACACTCTGCTGGAATCTCATAAAACCCAAAAGTAGGAGTGCAGTAGGGCCTTGACAAGGGGCAGGAAGCAGAGGCTGAGAAGCTCTCTGGAATCCAAACAGCTTCTCTGAGCGTATCTCAGAGAAAATTCTGCTCACTACGCTTTCTTTTAATTCTTAGTCTGCATGGTGGGTAGAATATGGTCACCCCACATGGTCTGAGTTTTTATCTTCTATTCAAGCTGAACCAGAATCTCTCAGTCCCAATCAAAATACCTAGGAAAAAGAATTTGAATCAAGTGAGCCCAGGGACAGTGAGAGATATAGTTACAGGGGTCACTGTGAGTGGATTGGACACCTTAAAAGTTGTCTACCTCAAAAGGCTTCCTGTTGCTATTCGCCATCTCCAAGCTTATTGATGCTTTTTCAGACACTTTGCCTACTACCATCCATGCCAAAACTCCCTCCTGCCACCCCAGATTTTTGAAAGTTAACTCTCCCTTGAAGAGCACATTATTTTAGTTCTGTAGAAATTACGTGAGTCAAGGTTGTTTTGGAGTTTTAACAAATCACTGTGTACCCTAAAATATTAAATCTCCCCCTCCCCTCCACAGCCCTATCCCTGTCTTCCAGATAATGGGAGATTTGGGTCTTAGTTGACATCAAATTCCCTTCTCACTTCAAGCTAAGCCCTCAGAAGCCAACACCACTACAAACCAATTTGGTTCCAAAGTACACATTGCAATGTAGACTGGTATATTCTTTTATGGCCCTTATAAACTATAAGCCAATGAGATATGGTTGTTGGTGATTTTTTTTTAACCTTCTCTTTGTTTCAAATGAATGAGTGTTTTTCCATTCAGGGATAAATGAAATTGCTGACCTTGTGGGTAATCTGGTTTTTTGCAGGCCGTGGATTCCTCTCCACATGGAGGGGGCTGGGCAGGCTGGGGCTCCTGGGGCAAATCTCTGCTCTCGTCAGCATCTGCCACAGTAGGTAAGCATTACACATTGCGTTTGAATGGATAAAGTTCAGGAGCCAAATAGGATATGACATTTTGATCATACCATGTACTGATAGAGTTTAACATGACATAATAAGAGCAAATTGTTTTTAGTGTTTGCTGTTCTAAGTGCTTCCTGTATATTAATATATTTATTCTTCAAAATAACCCTATGAGGAGGCACTCTTATTTTCTCCATTTTAGAGGTAAGGAAGCTGAATCACAGAGAGGTTAAACATTATCCAAAGTCAGGAGTGGCTGAATTGGGCTTTGAACCACACAGTATGGCTTTTAACCATTATATTATATTGCATCTTAGAATATAAGATTTAGGCTTTTATAATATAACCTTAATGCTTTGTATTTACCACCCCGCTTGAACATTTTAAAATATATAAATAGCCTACTCCCTAAAAGGATTTGAGGTATCTCAGTAAAAGGCATTCATCACGGGGTATTAAAATACAAATACAAAAAGAAATATGCAGGTAGGGAGGAGATATATATCAAGGATAATATAATAACATTGACCTTAACTCTCAGATTCTTGGCTATCAGTAGATTATCTATCTCATTGAGTGATAAAACAAGACTTAGTTTATTTAGATAAATTTATTTTCCTTGTATTAAACTTTTGAAGAAATGTCCCGTATTGGCTCGTATACAAAGAGAAAATATAATGGACAATGTCTTCATCAGTGAAGGTTTGTCAAAATATTCTTCATGTGACCATTTCTTATATTCACTCTTCATGAAAACTGAAGGTACAACATAAACGTGTCTATAATAATGTAGCCGTAGCATTTCATCTTGAGGGTAGAGAGTGAAGAGCAGGACAGAGGAAGTCACAGGTAACACAGCTTGCAGATCATCTAACTCACGTGTTCTCAAGGTATCTCTGTGGCATGAGGATCTTGTGATGGGCCATGAATTGGTCCAATTCACTGTTACTCCTAAAACCAGCAGGGCTGAGGTTTTTGACCCCACTCTAATGGACCATGGTCACAAACAGTTGAAGGGCCAGATACCTAATCTGATAGAACTTAGACTCCCTGGAAGAATGGATAGATTGCATTCTCCTAATTCCATGTCTGTCAAGTATCAGGAGAGCTCTGGCAAGAAGTAGATGGTGGTCAAATAAACATTGCCCTCTGCATGAGAGCCTGGAAAGCAAATCTTTTTCTATTGCTAATTGAAAGGCCAGGTATGCCATGAATATTACATATGCAGATGGAAAAATTAATCAGATTGAAGTAGAAGAGCCTGTTTTGTTTTTGAACAGGACAGAGTCTTTTCATAAGAGTGAGGACAGGAACCTGAAGGCATCCTACTTCCTAAGGAAAATGTTTGAGCTTTTAGTGGCTCTCAAATGGATCTTGCCACTGGCAACACTCAGGATTGCCAGCTTTCTGAACCAAAATTAAAAATGTGCAGTCTAAAAGTTTTTGAAGTTGTGATAAGTCATGGAACAGTAAATTATATGGTCACCAAATTATACGGCTCTCCTCATGGTTTATGTCATAAAACAGTACAGTGTTTTGGGTGCTTCCAGTTATAATGGTGTCCAGAACTGCCCTGGCTTATAATGAACTTGGTGCTTCAGAAGGTTCTATTATAGGCAAAGGATTTACTTTCTCCTTAAAAATTTAAATATAAGCTCCTTCCATGGTAAAGACAGCTATCAGCTGCCCTGTGGGTGTCATGTGCAGGTGTTTTTGGTACACTTACAGGTGCAGTCACCTGTGACTGCTTTGCTCCTGGTAGGTCTGACTCTTTGCTACTGTTTCTTATCAGTCAGCGACTACACCTCACCATTTGACTTTGGGCTTTGCTGGACCTTTATAAAGTTTTCCATCCATCAACTGGCGGCTTGCCTGTTGAATTTACTGTCCATTATCTTTTTCAGTGTCCTGTTGTAATCTGACCTTCGCACATATACAGCCTAGTGCAGCCTTCATCCGGTGGACTGTGCTCCAAGACCTCTAGGTTTTGTTACCCGATTCAGGTGTAACCAGTAGATGATGCTGGCTTTACTGCTTAAAAATCAGGCTGTGGCTCCGATGGCAGGTCCCAGCCCATACTGGTAGGCACTCATCTTTTAATTTGACCTCAAGTCAGTGTCTTCATCTTTAGCCTGTGCTTGGGTTTGGGGTTACTCTTGAGGTTTCCCTAAGGCACCCCGAATAAATGTTGTGTCTTGTTAATGTTGCAACCACTTAAAACTTGTGGTGCTTCTCACCTGGCTCTGTGCAGTAACCGATCCAAAAGAACCTGGGGAGATAACTGCCTGTGGACCAGCAGGATCATTGTGCCATCACTACTGCCATTTCCCTCTTATGGTTGGTGGAGACAGGGTTCCTCTGAGATGAGCTGACAGTCACACTTTGCCCCATCAAATATCAGAATGAAGTTCAAGTAGACCCTCTTGTATTCACTTCTGTTGCTGTGTAACAAATTACCACACATGTGGAGGCTTAAAACAACATACAGTGATTATCTCACAGTTTCTATGGATCAGGAATTCAGGTCCAAGATAGCTGGGTTCTCTGCTTAGTGACTTGCCAGGCTGAAATCAAGGTGTCAGCTAGCTGCATTGTCATCTGACATTCAGGGTCAGTTTCAAGGTTATTCAAGTTGTTGGCAGAATTAGTTCCTTGCGGTTGTAGGACTGACACCCCTGTTTTCTTGCTGGTTATTGGCCAGGGTCACTCAACTCCTAGAGGCTGCCCTCTGGTCCTTTTTCAAAGCCAGCAGGATAATTTCTCCCATGCTTCAAATCTCTCCCTTTAGGAAGGGCCCAAGTCCCTTTTAAAGCCCACCTGATTAGTTCAGGCTCATCCAGGATCTCTCTTTTGATTAACTCAAATTCAACTGATTAATGACCTTAATTACTTCTGAAAAGTCCCTTCACCTTTACTGTATAATGTAACCTAATCATGGGAATGAATCCCATCATATTCACAATCCTGTCCACACTCAAAGTGGGGGGATTGGGCTTCCCTGGTTGGGCTTCCCTGGTGGCGCAGTGGTTGAGAGTCCGTCTGCCGATGCAGGGGACACAGGTTCGTGCCCTGGTCCGGGAGGATCCCACATGCCGCGGAGCGGCTGGGCTAGTGAGCCATGGCCGCTGAGCCTGTGCGTCCAGAGTCTGTGCTGTGCAACGGGAGAGGCCACAACAGTGAGAGGCCCACGTACCACAAAAAAAAAAAAAAAAAAGTGGGGGGATTACATGTTGTATATGCCAGGGTTGAGAATCTTGGGGTGATCTTTCAATTCTCCCTAACAGACCTCCCTTTTCCGTTTGAAAACCTCATCAGTTATACCACCCATGCCAGAAACTTAGTATTTTTTAAGGGCTCTGGCTACATGTCAGAATTTTTTTTTCAGGAGAAGGAAGGATTTTATTATTACTTGCAGTAAGTAAGGAGAACACCAGGGATCCTTCCCAAAGCACTGTCTCCCTGATATATGTTGGAAATTTGAAAAGCATTTTAATCTTGGCATTTTTCTCTTATTTGCACCCACAATGACCAAAGGGCACATGAGGGAGAGCAAAGAAAATCTGAAATATTGATACTCATTCTAAGAATCCCTTTGGAAAAATTGGAGCTATCTTTAGAGATGTAGAGACTAAATTTGTTCATCACCACTGGTCATCACAACCCCAATAAATGCAATAACAAGATAGCTGAATGCCATCCATAAGTTGTTCTCCAGGTATATTTTGTAGATTTTTGGTCAGGATGGGCTTTAACTTTACAAAGTAATAGTAGCTAAACTAGTAGCAGTATATACTTGAAAACAAGATAAGTATTTTGGTGGACCTGATAGAGAACTAAAACTTGAAGCATAAGGGGAAGCTTAGGTTCCAAGGCTGGAAACAGGCAGTGGTGGTGATTGGGAATTTGACTCCTAAAAGATAACAGGGATCACAAGTGTCCCACAAATGGAGAAGTGTCACAGCCAGGCTCACAACCTGAAATAGAGGGTTAGAATAGGGTTCAACCACCTGTTTACAGAAGCTTGAAAAAGTTATGGGCACCGTCCTGGGTTGTGGTCTATCTTGAGCTACTATCTTTGGATTGAGAAAGGCAAGCAAGGCAGACCTTCCATTATGTACAGGCAAATAATATCCATCCAGGGCTTTGCAGCATTAACAGTTTATTATCACAGGGTGAAAAAACTTATTGGAAAACAGAGCACTCACAGCAGCAGACAAGCTCTTGAAGGTTTAAAAAATTGCCTGTGGAAAGTAAAGAAAGAAAATAACCATATATTCTATTGCAACTAATTCCTACTCAGAAACCTCATGTTACCCCCGGGGTAATTCCAGTTGCAGATGGAATTCTATGCAAGACAGCATCTATAACAAAACTCAGAGCTGTCAATTGAGCACTAGAAACAGAAACCAATACTTCTTACAGTTGTTGAAAAACTGCAGTCATAATCATTAGAACTGTTTAGAGTTGGCAGGAGAGTAATTGGAGAATGGAAAGATTTAGAAGATGGTTCTGTCCTGGAAAGAGCACTGTATCAGAAGTCATAAGACCTGAGATCCGGTCCCAACTGCTACTAACTTGTGACCACAAATAATTGTCACTACCTAGCTACACTATGCACCGAATCTCTCCAGACTCAGCTCCTTACTTGGAAAAGTATGGGTGGAAGAACTTGAGAAATTCTAAGATTCCCTCCAACTTCCAGAATATGATGATTCCATAGTTTGTGGCTGTATATAGCAGGGAAAGATATTTGTAACCACTGTGCTAAGTAGAACAATATAGAAAATTGATTGACTTTTTGCTACACTGTATTTTTATATTTTATCTTTTGCCTCACTACTTTGGCCCCCAGGGTTAAGGGAAAATGAGGAAAAGCACCCTTTCCAATGCTTATATAAAATCAAACATTTCTCAGCCAACAATTGTTTTTGGAGAGGCCATATCTTCTGCATTAGTTTCGTTGACAACCACGCTATTATCATATTCTAAGA